TCACCACACCTGGTTAATTTTTGCATTTTTAGTAGAGACGGGTTTCACCATGTTGGCCAGGCTGGTCTCGAACTACTGACCTCAGGTGATCCACCTGCCTTAGCCTCCCAAAGTGCTAGGATGGCAGGTGTGAGCCACTACGCCCTGCCAGCACTTCACTTTAGATGCTGCCTATGAGTGTGTGTGGAGGACTGTGTGTGGGGGAAGGATCTTCTATTGTTTTAGGACAGTGTGGTTTATTACTCTCCTTTGACGGGTATAGAGTTTTTTTCCCACGTACTTCATTGTGTCTCCTTTTAATTTTGATTAATATTCTGTTTGGGGCAAGCAGACTTATGTTATATCTACATATAAATATATATGTACTGTTTTCTGTTTGTTCATTTGGAACAGATAAAACGATCTCAGAACCCACTGCATCCTAAAATGGACATTTATAGACTTAGATCATGAACAACAGGGATTTAGACTATTTTTTTATTTGATTACTACCCTTGTGTTTATTTTGAGTTAGTTCAAAAGTTCTTATGTGATTTTTTTCCTCTTTATTTATTTTTTAAAACTGTGTGGGCTGAATTGTTTTTCTTCCATGGAGCAAGATACAAATTATCTGGATCTGATACTCACAGCCTAAATTACGCTTAGCACAGATGTGTTCTGGTCATAGTAATAGCACCAGTAGTTTGTAGTTGTTACTATACTACAGATCCATGTTTGGAGATGCAGTTGATTTGCCTGTTGCAAGGAGGAGAGTGGACATCCATTTCCTGGGTCATCTGATTCCTCATTATTTGTTCCTATATTGCAAGTCAAAATACATTTTCAGGCGGGGTACAGTGGCTCATGCCTGTAATCCCAACCATCCCTGTAATCGTGAGGTCAAGATATCAAGACCATCCTGGCCAACATGGTGAAACTCCGTCTCTACTAAAAATACAGAAATTAGCTGGGCGTGGTGGTGTGCACCTGTAGTCCCAGCTACTCGGGAGGCTGAGGCAGGAGAATCACTTGAACCTGGGAAGTGGAGGTTGCAGTGAGCTGAGATCACACCACTGCACTCCAGCCTGGCAACAGAGCGAGACTCGGTAAAAAAAAAAAAAAAAAAAGCATTTTCAGATAATTGTTGAGCTCTCTTTTAGTGATTATTGTATTGTTTACAAAATAAATCAGCAGATGGTGCTTGTTTTCCCAGTTGGTGGGATCCCAAGATTAACAAGTATTATTTGAGTGAACAGTCTTGCTATTCCTTTCTGTTTCGGGATACCTGCTTCTTTGACGGTTGGTCTCTAGGACTTCAGAGGGAAAGGCTGAGGACAGACTTAGCCCTTGCGGAGGGTCTGAGTCAATCGACTTACATACACTCAGTTGTCACCTAGTAGGTGGTCCTTTCTTAGAAAATTAGTGGCTTTTGGCAGTGTTTGGCCTCCTCTTTGGGGAAGTGTGGATTACTAGAGTGCAGGCGACAGAGATGGCCTGGGATGGACAGCTTAGTCACCGTGAAAGAATGTATAAGGCATCGGGTGGCCCCTGAATTCTGTGTGACACATTTGTTTTCCCAGAAATAGAATTGCATTGGAGAGCCAGGGCCCAGTTATTAGAAATATGGGGTGGGGTGGTGCTTGTACTTGTTTCAGTCTTGTGGCTTCTCATAATCTTTTCTCTCATAATCCTTCCTCTCGCCTACATGTTGCAATTCTGATGACTTTTTGCAGCACACAGTTCATTTTTCCTCAGCATCCCGCTCAGCACACTGGCTTCCTTTATGTCTTAATGGGCATCTGTCTTTCCTTTTCATGTCATTGATTCTCACTCCCGGCCCCCACCTTCCCTGTATGCTTATTGAATAGGTGCTTTTTTAAAAAACAAACAAACAAAAAAACATAAAAAAAAACTTTACCCTAGATTGTTATGATCATCTTATCCATAGCAACAAATAAAAGTACACAGGTCTTGATTGAATGCCAAGGCTGCAGTTCAATGTAGGAAGGTTTGTCTGCTATTCATAAACTGCTTAAGATGTTTTCTTGTAGTTTGTGACATAAGCAGAACGCTTTGATTTGGTTTCTTTCTACAGCTCCATTTTCAGTCCGGCAGCACACATTACTCTGCGTACAAAACGATTGAACACCAGATTGCAGTTCAGGTAGGAAATGCAAGAGATTCTGAAGCTTGAATTTGTCAATATGTAGGTCTCTTGTGTGTTTTATTCTCTGCCCCTTCCCCCAACCGAGATGATGATGATGGTGACGATGGTGATGGTGATGATGACAGTGATGATGGTGATGGTGGTGATGGTGGTGGTATGGTGGTGATGGTGGTGGTGGTGGCGGTGGTGGTGGTTAAATCACTGGGGGAGAAGGGGAGCAAAGGAGAGAGAAGCAGGAGAAATGCTGCTGAAGTGATTTAGAGATATGGAATGAAGGAGAAGCGTGTGCTTATTGTTAAGAGTTTCTTGATCAGGCATAATGGGCCCACAGACCCCAGCTTGACTACTGTTTTTCTTTGCTTAGGGAGGGATCTTGAGTTGGGAATAGAACGGGCAGCACAACATAAACGGGAAGGCTTAAGGGGAGAGGTGGGAGAGGAGGCTGTGAGGCAGCCAGAGGGTTGCTTCTGGTGGATCAAAATCATGTGAAGGGGCGCTAAGAATATCACTTGGGACCTGATCATCCTGAAATGTTGATTTCTCTTGGACCTGTTGATATACGACACTAAATGTGCTGGAGGGGAAAGGCAACAGATCCCAGCTTCTGATGAGTGTCCTGTTTCCTGCTCACATAGTACTTCCATTCTCTTAAATCCAAAGGCTAAACAAATCATGGACTAATATAGACTCGGAGCTGAACTGATGCCAGCAGAATGCAGTAGAGGAGGGAGAACGACTAATACGATTTTCGTCTGTCTGCCTGGCCTTGCTGGGATGGATGTACCTCACGGTGTAACCAGTGGTACCAAAACTTCTTGAGTGTTCTGGCTTAACCCTTTGAAGGGATTCTCTTGAAACCTTTTGCTGTAGTGTGAAACCCTGGCTGGAGGGCCTTCTTTTTCTTGCAAGTCGATGTTGGTTTGTTAGGTCATTTGCATTATTCCATGACATCTTTTCTGGTGGAGAGCTCTTGCAGAATGTGTGTGTGAGTGTGTGTGTATGTGTGTGTGTGTGGGTGTGGGTGTGGGTGTGTGTGGTCTTAGGGAGCTGCAGCCACAGTGTGTCTTTGTAGGGCTCTCATTTCAGATCTGCGTCTTCCTTGATAAGCCTTCCAGATAACTGTTTGCCCCAGGTAAACGGAATTATTCCACCAGTGAAAAGCATGAGTCAGCAGACATTTTTGTTGCATTCCTACTGTCTCTGTACTCATTTTCAGGCCACAGCAACTATTTTAAAAATATTTGAGGCCGGGCGCGGTGGCTCACGCCTGTAATTCCAGCACTTGGGGAAGCTGAGGCGGGCAGATCACTTGAGGTCAGGAGTTTGAGACCAACCTGGCCAACATGGTGAAACCCCATCTCTACTAAAAATACAAAAATTAGCCCAGCGTGGTGGTGGGTACCTGTAATCTCAGCTACTCAGGAGGCTGAGGCAGGAGAATCGCTTGAGCCTGGGAGGCAGAGGTTGTAGTGAGCCAAGATTGTGCCACTGCACTCCAGCCTGGGAGACAAGAGTGAGACTGTCTCAAACAAACAAACAAAAAAGTGGCAATCCTGTTTAAAGTAAATCATGAACTT